AGACTTTGCATAAATAAATGTAACCTGGCATAACCTGTGATTGTGTAAGCTCAAATTGCAGGTAAGCGTGTAAATAATGTCCAAACTCTGACAATGCACAGATGTTACTCAAACCGCAACAACTGTACTATCTACTAAAAAAGAAAAAAGAGGCTTTATGAAATTATTTCAATTAAGACGTTGCTCTAAATTCACTTTGAAAAGTCAGCTACTAAGTGTAGTAGTTCTGCTAGTCAAATACAAAATAAAAACAACAAAAATGTGTACAAACTTTTGGTGTATTTGCTTGCTTTCAGCAAATATATAGGTCGGTCCTAACATTATCACAGGCTGTATGTAACAGATGTATTAATAGAGATATTTATCTGTGGTTAAAATATTAAACAGACATCTATTAATCCAACATAATTGCTCACTGTTTTCAGAAGAATGAGTAAAAATATTACAAAGGTAAGACAGGATAATAGAGGAAGGATTTCCTTTTAAATGGCTTGTATTTCAATGCTTATCCCACATAAGCTGTAAATAATTTCATTTGCTCTAGCTTCAAACACAGTTCCTCAGGATAATTTCACATCTGCCTTTCACACAGGTGAGGGGGAATCCTACCTTAGTACGGCTATTTACAGAATTGACATTTTTACCCTTTCAGTACTGCAGAATAAGCTCATTTGAAAAGTTTCAATCCTGCAAAGTAACCAGTAAAGATAATATGCTGAAAAACACATTTAAGTTTTAATCTGTTTAAGCATACAGGCATTTTTTTACTTCATTCCTTCACTGCTTGTAGTCTTTAAAGTCCCAAAATGTGAAGACTCCAGGGGGGAAAAAAAAAAAAGGAAGAGTAGGTTTGGGTTTCCCTAATAGATTCCAACCACTGATTTTTACAAGCACTTGATCAGTGTGAACTGTAGAATACCTAGCATTAGTCATGGAAGCATCTCAACATGAAGCAAGAGAAGAGAGTGTCCATATATGCAGTCCACATTAAAAGATTCGTAGCATCATAGAATGGTTTGGGTTGGAAGGGACCTGAAATTCAATTTACAAGAAAGTAATTACAATTTCTTGCTATGGAGACATTTTTTTTATCTCCACTGTCTTAACTCCCCTGTAAAAAGAGTAAATCTGGACAAAGACTTGGCTATCCATACCAATAATATTTTCTTCTAAAAAAAAATTAAAAGTAAGGTTCAGTTAATGTTTAAATACAGGTCACTTCCGCAGTTACTAAAACTCTTAAGCAATGTTAATATGGTTAAGAAATCATACTTAAGCCCTATGAGAATACATCTTAGAGTGAATATGAGTCATTTAGAGATTTTTTTTCCAATATGCACTTGTGTATTTGTAAATAAGCACACACTAATGCAAAATATTCTCTCTGTAAAACAGAAGTAAGCTTGAAGACAAAGTAAACATAAGGTTTATTTAAAGCAAAGCCCAGTGTTTTATAATGTCTAATGAGCAAGTTTTGATTTCCTTGAATGAACATAAGGTTGGGAAAGGGGAATGTACTAATCTACATGATCGAAGTTAGCCAGTAGGAATTTAAGACACACAGTCTTTGTGCAAAAGTGCAAAGGGTGAAACTGAGGAAGGCAGTTCTGTGCTTGATATCAAATTTGAGATAGCGGATCTCAAATCAAGCATGAATCAGACCACAGCTCAACAGAGGTATTTGTGATAGGTGACTATAAATTCGCTATATCCTTTGGAACCCTTTTAAGTGATTCACAGGTAAAAAAACGCACAGGAAGCTGCATAAGAAGCGAGATGACAGGAACAACAGTATTCAACAAGACTGCATATGACACATATTCAACTACAGGGTGATTTAAAACTAATGATGTGGTGTTCTTCAACACCCACAGAGCAAATTTTCTTGCTGAGGTCATGCTATTTATTACTAGCTTTTTCCAGAAAATGTTTCATGTCTGGCATCCAGGAATTCTCTTGAACAGAGTACTGCAACTACTGTCCTAGAAACAAGATCTGTTGATAAAAGAAATCTGTAGTCTTGGGAAGAGAACTCGGTATGGGAAGAGAACTTGGGTATGAAGATACTCTGGAAGCCACTGGTGTCATACTGTAAAAATTTGGATGATTTAAAGGAAATAGTAATTTATTTATTAAATTAATTTCAACAGTAATTTAAGTGGGAAATTGTAAGAGTTTTGTTAAGCAATAAATACATTATAAGCCTTTTGACTTAACTGAAACATATCGGTATTTAGCAGCTAATACATTTTGCTCCCAAAATTTCAAAGGCAGTCAAAGCACTACATTTGTGGAGATCTATCACCAGCACATTCAGAGTTTACCAAGAAACTAAATCTATTTTCTGTGACAGTACTATCAGAGATAGTTTTGTTCTTACTTCTACCTTCAGACAGGTTCATAGCTTAAAGATGGGACTAAAAACCAAACATCATGGCTTGGTAGCCTACTTTCCTTAACTAAGGTAAGAAAATCTTTGGTACCAAAATCTTTCATCCTTGTTGAAAGTGGAGGAATGTATCTCTTCGTCTTTTACTCAATGGGATGAAAGAAAGCTGTCTTTACAGACCACTCATTTGTTTCAAAGATGAAAAGAAAGATCAAGCTGAATCTAACGGCACTCATCTCAAGCCCCAGATTCAAGCAAAATACCACCACCATTAAAAATACCCTGAAGGACTTGCTACCTTGGTTCTGCTTTTAATCAGCCAATCTTTCCAGCAAAGGAAAGATAGGCATCCTTCAAAAAACAAACATGGATTGAAATCCCAGTAATTGATATGGAGAGCCAGAAAAGAGACTGAAAACAATAAACCTGAACTGGCATTCATCCCATCTTACCATGAAAAAGAAATAATGGTAGACAGCTACAGTGAAAATATAGCTAAACTGCTGCTTCAGTGCTGTGCTTCACTTGTGTCAGCTACTGGAAAAGACATTTAAAATAGAAGGCTTAAGTTCAAATGGACCAACTCATGCACCATTATGGACATTTTTAGGTAAAAATATTAGCAGGATGTAGTAAGAGAAAAGGGATAAGATACCTTTGTTGGGCTGATTTTCTATTGTCAGGTTCATAACAAGCTCTTAACTCTTCCAAATGTGGAATTTAAAATCAACCTATTGCTTCCACTGAAGATAGACTAAAACCAACTAGATTTCAATTTAGGTCACTGAGCTCATGTGAAGGAAAAGCATCACTCCAGCATGCAAAAGGCATGAAATAAACCATAAATTATTTAAAATTATATTTTGTATCCTAAGAATTATCTACAACTCAATTTCAGCTAATATTCAGGTAATATTTTTGAGCAAATATTTGATTGCGTATCTTACATAACAAAAAAATGAGAGCCTAGACTTTGCCTCCTTTTGGTCAGATGCTGTCTTCTGGGGTAATAATATTGCATATTTTAGTATATGGCCAACTACCTCCAACTTTATATTTAATGCTGCACACCAATACAGCATTAAAATCATAAGTTCCTGTTTTAATCTAACACAGTGAGCTCTCTGAATATTCAGTGCCACCTTCTAGTTTGTTTTTTAATGACTTTTTAATAGAACACTTATATAGGAATGAAACAACAACAACACTACTTCTCACTGCTAACAATTTCTTGCAACACACTATGCAATGGAAAACAGCAGAACATGCCTGTAACTATTGTATTGGCTTATTGGCTATTTATTCTACTAAAGAGATAAGGCTCTGCATAAGGCATTATACTCAGTTACTGAGAAATAAATTCTCAATCAAATGTCAATTGAATTAAACATTACTCCCCCCTTCCCTGATTTCACATATAATACGTCTTCTCTGAGAAGCAACAAGGCAAAATGTGAGTCACAGTGTATCTCCATTATTCTTCCAACTTCAGGCATTTAGTATATCACAACAACTACTGCTAGGTAACAGAAAATGTATTGTTATTTATTGGCATTACCCAAAGTAATATCAGACACCATCCACCTTGCTCAGCTTACTTTTGTGCATACAACTACCTCTTTCCTAGTCACTTTACCAATCATAGTTATGACTATTAGGAAGAATACTTCAGTGTAAGACCACACTAACTACATGTCTGAAAAAGAGACTGCAAGGAAGATTAAAACTTTAGTTTAATATTTCTGCCACTCACATCAGTACAAAATGGCTTTTTAACTCAATCCTGTTCCATCCCAAGTCAAACATGCTTGCTATTTTTGCCACTACAATGCCTGGTAACAAAATACTTCCAAAATAACAACATACATTTCAAAAATAGCAGCAGCCCCTTCTGCTTTTCTGTTCTAGAAGACAGTGAGTAATTCTTATCTTAAAAAAAACGCTACCCAAACCAGTCAGAAGGTTTATTCAGCATGGCACTGGAATGCCTCACTACCTTCATGTGTTCATCCAGTTGTTTATCAACTGATTCTTAGCCTGTATCACTTGGAAAAGTGCTGTGCAAACGAGATTATAAAACCTTTACAGGGTGACAGCACAGTAAAATTCAGCAAAATATGACCATCTCTTTCAAAAAGGCCATTTCCAATTATCAGAAACTGAAAAATGATTGGGATGAGCTGTTCCTCAAACTAGAAAAATAAATTAAATAAAGCCTATTTTTTATCTCCACCTGCTGGCAGGTTTTCATGATATGGCTTCCTTGGCACAGCCTGACTTCAAAGAAAAACATCTGCAAGGTAATTCAGTGGAATAAATGGAAAAGCCAACCTAAAAATAGCAATGAAAAATTTCACATCAATAAATAGAAAGCAACCAGGACAAAATATAAAGCATAGGAACTTGGAGGGAAAAGACATGACAACTCAGAGAAAGACAATTAAGAAACATACCTTATGTCTCTGATGAATTTACATGATACAAACAAATTCTAATGCTAGGTTAGAATATGTACACAGAAGAATTCTTCTATTTTTCACATTGTATTTCTGCTTACCTTACCTGTTCTCATAATGATTTTATTTTATTTTTATTAATTATCCAAATTTACCAGATTCCATGGTCATCTGAAGTAATCCATCAAGAGCAATGGAAAGCAGACCTCTACTGGATGCTTTTAGGTGACTTAATATAACAGGCACACACTGGTATTCCAAAAATAAGGCCTTCCCTTCACCTGTCTTCAAGTCTGTTCGAAGGGAATCAAATGCCTGAGCCAGGTAATCCACTGTAAGACATCAGAATAAAGGCAATAAAACTTCTATAATATAGCACCATTAAGCAATATGTGAACAACTATCCTGAGAGTTACTGTTTCAGTAACTCTTGGCAAGTTAAATGGCTGAAAATATTAAATTTTATTTTTATTTAAAGACATCATCTGCTTGTTTTTATTCCCTAACATTTTATTGTAAGTGAGGAAAAAGACAATCTACAACTCGTATGTTGAAGAAAAATACACTTACAAATTGCGTAAGAGAAAACTACAAACTTGCGTAGTTTGAGACAATGTTAGTTTCAACATCTGTGAAACTCCTATTAAAAGGAGTTAAGGGCTGATTTGTCTGAAGAATAGCGATTAATTTCATAGATCATATAATGCTTAGGGTTGGAAAGGACCTTAAGATCATCCAGTTCCAAACCCCTTGCCATGGGCAGGGATGCCTCACATTAGACCATGCTGCCAAGAGCAACTACTCCGATTCCTTCCTATAAAAGCTGTAGTTTAGGCTTCAGTGCACACATCTTATACACCCCTCCACTCTGGAGTGCACTAAATTATATGCGGAATGTAGATTAAGTGAACCAATCCAATTTTCTTAATTTCCTGATGTTAGATATTTCTTAGTATCTTGGAACAGCATTGATGATCTGGAGTGCAGAAAATTAAGTAGAAGGGAACAATGTATTCTGTAGCAAAAGCTTAACTACAGTGCCATCTGCTGGACGGAAGGGGAAGGAAATGGGATCTATGTTCAAAACCAATGTGTTACTTTATCACTAGATCATTAGTGCCATGTGCCATGTAGTCACAGTGATCAAAATTCATACAGAGTGATATTCGACATATGTTTAACAATGAAACTTATTTTCCATGTTATAGAAGATAGCAGTAAAAAGCAACCATGAGAAACTAAACTAATTCATTCTAATCAAGAGCATTCATCTGCTTAAGTCTCTGCAATAACTATTTTTTGTCTTGCAATTCTTTTTTATCATTTTCATCGAACATTTCTAGAAATGTGAGTCCCAATTTAAGAGTAATTACCATGGTTCACCAAAATATCTTGACTGAAATAGTTTTCTCTGACAGCTGAAATACTGCATTTTTTTCATTAATGATGTCAAGGGTGGATTTCCACCATGTTTATATTTGGTATTTACTGTAGAGACTCACAATACAAATACTGCACAGGTCAGTTAAGCATAAAGGCATACTCATCTGCTCAACCATCTAATCCAGAAGTATGACTTCTACGAACAAGAACACTGCTCATTACCTATGGATTTAAAATTCTTGGCACCCCTGTTTAGTGTCACCCACTATGCCACAGATGGAAGCAATTTTGTGGTGTAGATCTCTGCTGTCTAAAAAATGGCCCAAAATTCATAACATATTTCATGCAAGAGACTGAAAAAACGATCAGATGCCAAAGTAGGCATTGGATTTTGACATTCTGGCATGGTTTTCAAGGATTACCTTGAAAATTCACACCTCTGTAACCTGTCTCAATTTCTTTGACTAGCAGAGGGGGATATGTTAGTAGTAACAACATTTTAAAATAGAAACCATTCTGATTAAAAGATATTGCAAAAATAGAACCAATGAATAATTTAAGTTGGAATCTAGTCCAACCCTCCTGCCCAAACTAGGACCGTCTCTGAAGTTAGGTCAGTTTGCTCAGCCGTAACCCCACTTAAACTACTTGCTATCAAAATGTCTTTGAAAAGGGAAAAATAAGTGGTTAGCATCATAAACAGTTGGATAAAGGTTATAGATACATTAATTCTTATGCTATCCCTATAAAGCTTACTCTTGCAGAAAATCCCAGTTATGCAGCACCACAGTACTCCTAAGTAGCTCCAGGTAGACAATAATCACCTCTTGCACCTGCTTTTGATGGCATATAATTAGAGTTTTCTGCCTGACTTCCATAAAAGGATCTGCAACACCTTGCTTCCTATTTCCTTTGAACAGGAAAAGGCTTCCTAACTGAAGGCAGCAGTTAACAAGTCAGCTGACAGAACAGTTACTCTATTATTTGAGATACATTTTCCACAGCTTTTTCTCACACTGTCCTGACACAAGCTGACTCTTGCTAACTCATTATGTCACTTTGAAACCTTTACCTTCTCCCTCTCCCATGAAGCAAGGAAGACCCAAACTTCCTGTTTTATTGCCAACAGAAAATTATGTAAGTTCTAAGTAGAGAATCCTACTTTAATATTATACTCATCTGAGAATGTGAAAAGTGGGAGGATCCTGGGAACAAAGTGGAAAAACAAACCCCCACAGTGAAAGGAGTTGTACGCCCTGTGATCCCCAACCCCCCAGTACTTTTTAATTAATAAAAGGCAGAAGTGTGAGCTGAAAATGATGTAGCTGTTTCAGATAGAATAATCCTCTAACAGGCACTGAAGGCTGTTTGGACTATATTTCTTACAAAGATATCTGTTGGGTTTTTTTCCCCTCAAAGATATAAATGTACAAAAAAATCAAGTGTTTATATACAGTCAGAAGCTCAACTTGACAATATATGACAATTATACTGCAGTTAGCATTGAGAGGGGACTTATCAACTCTGCTGCTTTTATGCTGATGACTCTTTTTGCACAGGTGAACAGAACTGTTTTATAGCAATCATTTAAGCCATTATTGAATTGAAAAAAAGACATCAAAACAGAAAAATAATAGAAGAAGTCAAAGTAAGACATTCTTTGGGATTACTCATCAAATCTGCAGATTTAAGAATTAAGAACCTTCAAGCATAATTCAGATTATGTACTAGTGCTAAAGTTTTTTAAGAAGTCGTATATAAATCAGAAATAGGGAGGAATGTGTAAATGATCAAAGTTAATCTATCAGTTATTAAAAGATCTCTGTAAGTCATATTGATTTAAGGTCTTTCTTCTCTGGGTTCTGACAGAGAAGTATATACTAATCTCTATGTCAAAAGGATAAGGAAGGAAAGCATTAAAAACCTGAGTTTGTGCCTCCTCTCATAATGTGCTCAACATTTAGAGCTCACAAGAAACGTTCAATTTTTGTCATCATCTTAACAAAAATCTTTAAGTCTTTTCAGACAGCATCTGTTTTCAAAGAAGGCCCCACTGACAAAATTTCCTACAGCATTTTAAAAACTGCACAAGCAGAGTAACCTGTCATGACCTGAAGAAGACACTCTTTTCAAAACTGTGTTATCTCCTGACCTTGTTTGCTTTCGCCTTGTTAACAAACTATTACATTACTATGCTACATCAAAATAGGAATTTTGGAATAATTTGGATAAAAAGGCCATTTGACAGTCTGGCTTTGAAGTCTAAAACATTTTAATGTAAACAGAACATGGTGCCCTTGGAAATGAGTCTATTTAACAGTGAAATCTGAAAGGACAATTGCATCAAGAACTGACAGTTAGAGTAGCAGTTTTCAATATAGATAATATTTTATGGATAGCCATTTGCAGTGCCAGACTTGGTAGAAGAAGAGGGGAACAGCAGATAGGTAAGGGCTGGAGTTTGGACTGTATACTAAACTAGACCAAAGGACAAAGCAATTTCAGGACGTATAGAATCATAGAATAGTAAGGGTTGGAAAGGACCTAAAGATCATCTAGTTCCAATCCCCCTGCCATGGGCAGGGACACCTCGCTCTAAACCATATCACGCAAGGCCTTGTCCAACCTGGTCTTGAACACTGCCAGGGATGAAGCATTCACAACTTCCCTTGGGCAAACTATTCCAGTGCCTCACCACCCTAACAGGAAAGAATTTCCTCCTTATATCCAATCTAAACTTCCCCTGTTTAAGTTTTAACCCATTACCCCTTGTCCTGTCACTACAGTCCCTAATGAAGAGTCCCTTCCCATCCTCCCTATAGGCCCCCTTCAGATGCTGGAAGGCTGCTATGAGGTCTCCATGCAGCCTTCTCTTCTCCAGGCTGAACAGCCCCAACTTTCTCAGCCTATCTTCATATGGGAGGTGCTCCAGTCCCCTGATCATCCTTGTGGCCCTCCTCTGGACTTGTTCCAACAGTTCCATGTCCTTTTTATGTTCTATCACACACAATTCGATTCAACAACTACCATCCACTACATGAGTGGCTTTCTCTGTGTCATTAAAGATACATAAGAAATACCTATGAACATGCAATTTATCTATAAAGATAACTAATATGTCAGAAAATAAACACTTGGCACTGCAGATGATCAGCCTTTCAGGGATAGGTAAACAACTGTGCAAAATCCACTATTTAGTTTATGGAAGAGCAACTAGCTTTGTGATTCAATGCAACAAAGATCTTGGTAAACCAATTGCTGCTGCAGTGACAGTTTTATAGAATTACCAGCATGTCTTTTCCCCTTCTTCAGGAATGTTGATTTGTCTGACAGGAAGTTGTTGTATTAAAAGGAACGTGCAAATTCCAACGTTAAATGATTAATAGCAAGATTCATACTTGTTTCCAATATATTTTGCTTTGCAAACTAGTAAAACTCAAGTAAACCCACTTTTCACTAATAGAGCATAGTAGACTCTACAGTATAACCAAAATGGTTTTTGTCCAGGCACATGACTAAAATAAACATTTAAAAAAATAGAACTTACCTTGTGTCACTGTTTTAAGCACAATTAAAGTTGAGAGAAATCTCAAAGGCATACAGGAGCTCTTAAAAAAAGCTGCCAATTTTGATTTACTCTCTGTAGACTGCTCAGAAGAACTATCTGGGTTTCCCTTAACTACTATGCCTTTGAAAATATCTTCACCAAGTCTCCTCATTGTTGATGTCATTGCTGCATGCTGTTTCAAAAAATGCAGAGTTAGAGTAACCACTAAAACACATTAAAATACTGTGTACTATATAGAGATACATGTTTCCCTAATGATTAAATATTAGGTAGCAAATTGTTTGACCATGTGTTGGGATATAATCTGTACAGAATATACTACTTCGTGTTACAAAAGCAGCTGAACAACATTATCACTGTATCATATCAACACGTACTTCATAATGAGACTAGTTAATGAGGGCCCCTGACACACTGATATTATTTAAGTTGCCTCTGGTTCGAGAATAAGCTCATCTTCAGCCAACTCTATTTTATAAGGCTGCCTCAAATCATACTCTTTAAAAGCATTTACAGAATCATGGTCTAATCATGAAACTTAAGAACACTCCGCAGCTCGGCTCTATTAGCCTTTTCATCATAAACTATACAGAAATATTACTTCAGAATCAAACATCACAATATGCTATTTTAAAACACAGTTTCTTATTAGCAATAAAATCAACAGCTCATTATTCTACTAAATTTAAACTCAAGATATTTACAAGATTTCCTACCTTTGCTTTAGCAAAAGCACTACCGAAAGCATTGTGCATTATACTGAGTCTCTACAATATATCTACTGTCTTTTCCTTTATTATACTGCTAGATCTTTTCTCACAGCAGTCTAGTCAGAGAATAAGGAGTGCCGAGAGGTTAGACATTGAACAGAGAGCATGAAAATCGAAATTACTTCCCGGCTTTGTCACACACTTACTCCATCACTTTCCACAAATCCCATGCATAAAGCGAACCTGAAAAGTCTTTTCTAATGCAGAAGTTTTGTAAATACATATGTAAAAATAGAATTTCTGAGATGCTTAGACACCACTTAAGAGATCAACTACTTAAGAAAATTCTGTTTAGTTACAGAATGCAAAATCTAAAATCAGCCTGAAAACGAATTTTTCACTTGCCATCTATCTGTGGCAAACACTGTCAATTTATGCTTTGTAAAGACAGCACAGGTTTTACATATATACTACCTGAAAGCATCCAACTTTCATATGTACTTAAAACAAAAACTCTATTAATATCTTCTATGAATTTAAGTTAAAAAAATCCCAACATACTGCAAGAGAACTATTTATCTTACCTGAACACCAGTGTCTAACTGTCTTATAGACCAGTAAATAAATTTAATTACAGGCATGTGTAGTTTGGAATTCACAAATGGCATCCACTGGAGTTGCTCAGTAGCTAGAGGCAGAAGCTGCAGAAATATACAGAAGTAAAACTACATGAAGTATATGAAACTAATGTATAAGTGAAAAACAAACAGAACTCACAACTGTCTCTTGGAGTTGAACAGGTTACATATGCAAATACTCACTGGGCAGATCCAGTACACGTAAAAGAATTGCACACAACCAAGAGATTTCAAATTTTACAGAGGTTTACATGCAAAAGTAAAAAAAAAAAGTTTATATGCTCAATCTTGGTAAATCCAAACTCAATGGTTATAAAAGTAACATAATTAAGAAAAAAACAGTAAAAGATTTTCCAAACACCATACTGATTTCCAAACCTTGGTATCCCCAGAAAGAAAACAATAAAAGTGTTAAAAGTATAGCATAGTATCACCATTTATCAGTTGTAAATTGAAACTTCAATATCTAATATAGGCATCAAAATATTTTAAATTAGACTTCTTCATCTTCGGAAAAAGAAATTACGTCCACACAAAACACATGACATTATCAACTCACAGAAGTGACTTGAAATAAACCACTGAAACTTAAGTTGAGACTGAATAAAAAATGATCTGTATGCTTTACAAATGCCAAATTATCTTACATCACACTGCCAGAATTAATACTGACTTAGTAACAGTGATTTTCTTTTAATCAGTGTATCGAAAGCATGTATAAAACAGGCTGACCTGTTATATTCTCAGAATCATGTAAAAAAACCCTACAAATCTGAAAACATTAACACAAGCAAACAATCTAAACCCCTTTACCTTCATACATCTTTCCTGGGTGCAGGTCTTTTTTGAGGTCTCGATAGCCAGAGGTTTAGAACTGTCCCCTCTTTCTTCATGTATTTTTATTTTGCTGAGATGCTGGTCTGAGATCCAATCCATAAGAAAAGTTAGGAGCTCATAAACTTGTGAATTTGTTGGTAGCTGTAATACATATATGCCATCAGATATTTCAGCTTTTAAGTTAATGATTTTTCTAAGCAAAAGCAGTAACAGACTGAAACATATCAGTATATTAGTTCTGAGATATTATGCATAATTTAAAGGATGATGAGCCTGATAAAATATAGGAGATAAGTTACTGTATTCAGAACCTGTGAAAACATTATATTAAAAGAAAAAGTGATCTCAAACAGGCCACCTGTGCTCTGTTGGACCTTGAGAAGCCTGTATGTTATTAATACAACCTGTAACTTACTATTACCTCTGGGAAAGGTAAACAGATGTGCATAGACGAGTCAGACACTGTATCAGAGACCCTGTGCTGTACTGCACAGATCAATCAGTTGCATAGTTTATCCTGTGCTTGGACACAAATAAAGTAATAGTAGTAATAATTTTTGGCTTAGAAAATGAAAATTATTTATCTGATACTTCAGACTGAGTACTTTTTAGCTGGTGTTATTCATAAGAACAGTGCTGTAGTGTATCAGTAACCACAATGAGTTTAAGATTTGCTTTGACACATTAGAAGAAACCAGTGTAAGCACGTTATAATTTTAATTGCCAGATGAAAGATAACATGACAGGAAGAGGAAAACATGCCATATAAATAAATATATATGTATTAGTATATACAAACACAATATAAAATCCAACAGCAACAAGCTTAATTCTTTAACTGGCTTGTTTTGCCCAAATATAAACTGTATCTTTTCTTACTGTAACTAATTCACTCATGAACTAAAATTGGCAGTTACATTTTCTGATTTCTAGCAGATGCACAGAGAATGTTCCACTACATAATATTTTTCGAATGAATCTTTCATTTTGACCAGTTCTCACCTTAGCATTTTTCGATGTTACCATCACTTTTTCCTGCTTGACAGGTTTACTTTGTTGCACCACTTGACAGATATTCTTAGACTTCTGTACTGTTAACAATTCATGCTTCCTCTACAACAAAATGTAACAATGAGTTTTATTTAACTTGTCACCTATAAAGAAAGCAGGTACATGTAAAAATAAACCTTACTTGCAGATTCTCTAAACGAGCTTGTACTTTTCTTGCTTGACCTTCCAACTTCTTGTTCAGCTCAGTTACATCACTTAACTGAAAGAATCAGAAAATATTTAAGTATCTGTAAATTCAAAACTCATTTCTTGATTTCATTATCGCACTGAAATAATTCGATATTGTTGCTGAGCACCTACATCATTTCAGTTCAAGTTCTTTCTTCTGAGCATATGAAGCGATAGAAACAAAATAATCATCCAACTCCTCAACAAGTCATAGAATCACAGGTGGTTGAGGTTGGCAGACACCTCTGAATGTCGTGGTCCAACGCCCCTCCTCAAGCAGGGGCACCTAGAGCCTGTTGCCTAGGATCATGTACAGCTGGGAGGCTCCACCACCTTTCTGCACAACCTGTTCCAGGATAAATAAGACACTAGCACTTTGATGGTTTGCAGCCAAACCTTTCAATTTGCAGGGGAAGAATAGGCACTAAAATGCCACTCAGGATATAGAGGTACTATACATTTCATTACTTTTCATGAAGAAGTGACTTTGAAAATGGAGAGCACTTTTCAAAAATGGTCTTGTTAATGAGGTGATAGCTTTCTTCTCTGCAAAATGAAACAGTTACTGACCATGCTAAACCAGTTTGCTCCACAAGAAAAGATGAAGGAAACTGTAAGCTATTCAAATATACGAAACATGCTCTATGTATACAACAAGTAGCATGATTATCACAGAATCAATCAATCACAGAATCAACTAAGTTGAAAAACACCTTTAAGATCATCGAGTGCAACCATTACCCCAGAACTGACTAAACCAATAAACCACCACTAAACAATGTCACTAAGGGCAAACTGATCTCTCCGCATGGATGCCTCTCACTATCTCCACTCACAGCCACCCCTCATCTGTGCCCCACAGTGGCCCACACTGCACTGCTGCTGCACCAACCCCTCACGGTCACCCTTTATATCTCCCTTCATGGTCAACCCTCAGGCTTCATGGCTGCCTGTGCTCTTCCCTTATGACCTCCCTCATGACTACCCCCATCACAATCTCCACACAGCCTCTCTTCCCCTCACAACATCCCCTTCACTCCTCATGACTGCTCCTGCTCTCCCCTCACGATCTCCAATCATGGCCAACCCTGCTCTCCCCTCATGATCTCCCCTCATGGCCACCCCTACTCTCCCCTCACACTCGTCCCTCATGGCCACCTCTCTTCTATCCTCATGATCTTCCCTCACGGCTGTCCCTGCTCTCCTCTTATGATCATCCCTCATGGCCACCCCTTGCTCTCTCCTCATGATTTTCCATCACAGGCTTTCCTCTTCTCCCTCACAATGTCCCCTTCACTTCTTGTGACTAATCCTCTTCTGCCGGCATGGCTATCTCTGCTTTCTCATCATGAACTCCCCTAATGGCCGCTCCTCTTCTCCCCTCATGATGTCCCCTCACTCCTTATGGCCTTCTTTCCCTTCATGATCTCCCCTCACAGCTGCCCCTGCTCTCCCCTCGTGGCCATTCATGCTGCCCCCTCACTGTCACCCCTCCTCTTCTCTCATAATCTTCCCTTATGGCCACCCCTCTTCTCCCTCTGCCTCTAGAGGTCCTGGCTGTGATTAAGTGGCCACAAAGCTGGAGGTATTTCTTCCTGTGATCTTTGAACAACAATGCTTCATTTGCACTTTCCAAATCAGAATGAAATGAAAAATTTCAGTTTCAAAAGCTAACCCCTTTCCTTTACTGGCAATAAAGAAGAAATGGGAACATTTGCCTAACCTCTTCTGTATTGTTCATTATTTTACACCAATGTATCACTAGATTTCTCTTCTCCTTCATAAACCCTCTACAGTCTTTTAAACTGTGCTTCTTCTCCTAGCTTTTGTTATTTTCATGCCTGGTTTGGGTTGGAAGAGACCTTAAAGCTCATCCAGTTCCAAGCCCCTGACACAGGCATGGAAGCATGAAAATTTTGTAGCAAGGGGAAGAGAAAGATAGCTTGCACCAGAACCATCAACATTCTAGGAGTTAGGTCTGATGTTCTCTAAGGGAAAGAATAAGCCTTTGCTGTTGCTAGTGGGTCAGAGGAATAAGTCCAACTTTATTTATACTGTAAAAAGTCAAATTTCAAGTACTAGAAACAGGTGGAGAAAATACTTTCAGCCATTCACGCACTTCTTGTCTTACAAAAAATTAAAAAAAAAAAAAAATCAGCAATTTCCCAAACTTAAGCAGTTCAAATATTTAAAATTGTTGAGTGTAGCTTGTAAAATTACTGATAACAGGAAATAACTAATTTTACCTGTTTTCTTAAAGAGTCATTCACTTCCTTCAAGGTGTCAAATGATGACTTCAGCCTCCTATTTTCTTTAGTTATTTCTCTCAAGATTTCTGTCAGCTGTTTAACTTCTGCCTCATGTTGCTATAGAATATAAAATTTAAAAACATACAATCATAGAATAGTTAGAGTTGGAAAGGACCTTAAGATCATCATGTTACAATCGCCCTGCCATGGGCAGGGACACCTCACACTAAACCATGTCACCCAAGGCTCTGTCCAACCTGGCCTTGAACACTGCCAGGGATGGAGCATTGTCCTGGGTTCAGCACTAGCAGCCACTTTTTCCTCTTCTTAGTAGCTGGTGCAGTGCTGTGTTTTTGACTTTCGGCCTGGGAACAGTGCTGATAACACCGATGTTTTTAGTTCGTGCTCTACAAGAGACTATTTTATATGTATATATTTATATAATATCTTTATATAATATATATATTATATATACCTCTACATACACCAGGTAGTGTCATCTATATCATAATCAGCTATCCCATTTCACTTTTCCCAGGTGTGCCTAGGCTGTTTTTAAGTCCTCCAACACTACACTAGTCTTGCCAATCTACCTCTCTGTATGTTTACCTATTTTTTCAGATAGGTTTTTTCCTAATACTTAACCTAATTTTCCCTTACTGCTGCTATCACAGACATGAAAAAAACACACACCAGTTTTCCTCTATGTTGCAGCCTTTTATGTTGTTGAAGATTGGCACATTAACACTCAATTCATCCTGTATGTTTAACCCATGCATCCACCCATTATCCTCCATTTCTGTAGCTGATTTCTATTCAAATGCAATACTGCACACTCACACCTCCCAAACAGTACAGTTTTTTCAGACCTACAATATCTTCAATTTGTAATAACCAATTTTAGTCCCAATGCTCTTTTGCAAGCACTCTTGAAATTCACCCTCGATTGCTATTTACTTCAAATTTAATGAATGTGCTCTTTTTCACCATCAAACTTCTCACTGACAATACTGAATAACACTGGACTGAAAAGATATTCCAAATCCATTACATACATTCTTTCAACTTTATTGTGAACTCCTGTCTCACTACATCTGTACACTAACTGCATTACATTTATGTTATATTTTACTAACATGATTACAAAAATGCCATGCAAAACTATGTAAAACATTTTAATTCGGTCCAGACATATAACTCCTCCTCCTCTATCAGCAATGGCCATTACCTTGCTGTAGTGGAAATGAGACCGATTTGACAATTTATGATTAACATATGCTAGCAGTTAAGTATTACATTGTTTTCTGCATCACAGTTTCCATGGTTTGTTTGTAGCTTTTTTTCAGAATCTATTTATTTATTTTACTTAGAGAACTGACATTAAGTTGATGGCTGTAGAACTCTCCCTTTTGACAGGACAGGCACCCTATTTTTTTAGTCTTCCTCCACAGATTTTCCCAGATAACTACCAATTTTTCCTGTTTTCACCAGCCAGTTCTCTTAACTGGTGTAACATTCTTATATGACTTGCAACATCTAAATTAGCACCTAAACCTATTCCTTCCCTGTTCAAAAGTTGAGGTCCCACTCCTCCAACGCCTTTTCCCCCTTTTTAAAATGTAGTCTTATCCTCCCTCAGCAGCTTGCGGGAAAGGTTTATCTGTATCATTTAAAGAAATGTAATTTCTCAGCTTATGGTTTTGACACAAACTACATACAGCTCAGGACTTCTCTTGGTGACCTTCTGGATAGTACTCGAAACTTTACAAGACCTAAATTCAATAGGAAATACTCACAAGAACAGTGTTGTTATTACCAGCTCTTCTCATAGCAAAATCACACCATTTCATTTCCTCCCACACTCCCAAAGTTAGGTTGATCTTTCTTCCTTTGAACTCTTTGAGAGGTTTTTGATAATATTCTCTGCAATAGTTGTTATGTCATAAGATCTCATTGTGTCTTCAAGCCTTCCCAAGGATATCTACTTCAACTACGGCTAATGCGAAGATACTAATTTAAGTTACATACAAGTACGGATAGACCACAATTTTTTTCTCTAATAGTGGTCATATATTTCTATTTTAGAAACAAGTTATCTCTTTTCTAAATCGTTAACTGTGAAACATATCTATGCATAAGATAATTAAATGCACTATTTTGAAAGAGAAGCAATACAAACCCCTAAATATTTTATGTGGTACTTTCTATATAAGACTTTAATTTATGGATTTCAAGCATTTAAAAAAATTAGTACCATATATCCAGCAAACATGATGGCTTAAGATAAGTTAAATGGCATGTAGAGCAATAAATATCATTTAATATATTACTGCACCTCTTTTATAATTCCAAATTTTGAGTGAACTTCTTCCTCAACACCTCGTATTTTAGCCAAAGCTGCTTCATGTCTAAAAAGCACTGTTTCTCGTTCTGTTATAAAATGCTCTCTTTTCCGGAGTTGAAGAGCATATTCCTGCTGTGCTAAACTTTCTCTCTGTATCAAGAAAAAAAAAAAAAAAGTTGAACTGGCTTTAAAAACCATGAAATTGTCACAATTTATACCGAATTTAAATTTTCTCTCCCAGAGATAAGCTTAGCTTCCTGTAAAATTATAGTGTTACATAATAGCTTACTCATTAAAAGTATCCTGATGGCTATCTGTGTTCAGTTTCCCCAGACATTAACTCAAATGACTTTGATGTGTATCAGGATGCTTCAGCCTCCCAGAATACAAAATTCAACTCTACATGATTGTTAACTATAAACTCAAGATAATTAAACCTATGCTTCTGCTTTCAAAAGTTTTGGGTAATAATATTAACTGCAAGACAAAAGAGAGTCTGATGTGACTGTCAACACTGAACATGAGATTACCATGTTGTTTCTTTGATTAGTGGGAAGCATCCCTGAAAAAGCAGTGAGGAAAAAGAAATACAAAATTATTTTTATTCACACGATGCAAAAGGAAGTCCTGACAGGGAAACCAGCAGAAGCATGGGAGCTATTACAGAATAAAGCCATATAGCAGGCTCTTCTGCTAGTGGCGTAGGCCTTCTAGGGGATGAACTGCTGGGATTCCTCAGCAGTGCAAAAATAAAGATAAGGCAGAATGGAGGGTTTTAAGAGGAGGCCATGAATGCCTAGGGTCACGAGAAAAGTTTTGGGTGCTCTCAGAAGCAGCAGTACTTGCAGGTGTTTCCTTCTATGCCCACAGTTCAACACAAGACACTCTTGGATGTAGAAGCACTGCGTTCAAACTCCCTTAAGACTATGCAAGACAAAATACCACTACCAAATCAGCAATTTTGTTTAGAGGAAAGGTGGATGATGATAGAATTTTAGTATATAAGTCATTGTGATTAGTATAAATAACAGTAATAACTAACAGTCTTAGTATAAAAGTAATAGTTATTTAGTATATAAGTAATTTCTGAATTCTCTGTCACAAGAGAGAGTCTTTGTAACATTACTCAACAAAATGTTTAAAGTGATTCCAGTTCCTACCTGGAGCTTCTGATGTATGACAAATAATTCATCATAAATTTGACTGATGTGAGGCGGTATTAAGCCTTGACTACTGCATGCTTGAGCATTAGTTCCACTTATAATTTTCCTTAGCAAACCATTTGTAACATTTTGGTCACTATTTTCTTGTGTATTTGCAGCCAAATGAGAAGGTAAGGTGCTGCCTATGGAAAGGAAAAACCCATTTTATATTAGGAAATTAATCCTAGATAAATAATGACATTATTGTTGTTCCAAAACAGCGAAAACTTGTTTTAGCCATTTAAAGTAATAAATATAGAGCAAGATGTAGCAAAATGAGAAAGTAATCTCCTAAAGAATTATGCAGAATTGCTCAAAGCTGGGTCAAAAGCTCAAAGCATTCATGACATGGCTGAAATCATCAGTGATCAATGGTGTTTTGTAAGTAAAACTATACCCTCCACTTCAGTACAGAAATCTGATGGATATCTGTATGACATCTATGCACAGCCTGAATCATAATGTAGCCAAAACCTCCTCTTGTACGGAACTTTTTGTGAGGTCTTCAGGCAAGTGATTTGCTGCTGACTAGACCCCGGCCTGACATCAAAGTTAAAGAGAACAAGACTTAAAAAACTGCTGGTCATGACAGGAGAAACCACTAGACATGACAGATTACAGTGTAAGAAGCTGATAAAAGTTGCAGACAGCACAGTGAGGAATGGCTAGATTTCACAAATCGTCAAACACCCAAAATTCACAGATAACTGAAGGGAAGTGTTATGATCTTTTGGGGACAGACATCTTGGAGGTCAACTGCACCTAGGTACCACATCAGGCCAAGATTACCTAGGTGACAGTACCAGAAATACAAATTTGGGTACTGTGCTGGTAGCTCATATAGAGCTGTTTTGGATTTGTGACCAAAACAGTGTTGATAACACGGGGATGTTTTAGTTACTGCTGAGCAATGCTTACACAGAGTTGAAACCTTTTCTGCTTCTCACCCCACCCCACCAATGGGCAGGCTGGAGGTGCACAAGGAGCTGGGAGGGGACACAGCCAGGACAGCTGACCCCAACTGACCAGGATATTCCATACCATATGGTGTCATGCTCAGCATATACAGCTGGGGGAAGAAGGAAAGGGGGAAATGTTCAGACTGATAGCACTTGTCTTCCCAAATAACCATTACATGTGATGGAATCCAGCTGTCCTGGAGTGGGCTGCACACCTGCCTGCTGATGGGAAGTGGTAAACAAATTTCTTGGTTTGCTTTGTTTGCATGTGGGGCTTTTGTTTACGTATTAAAGTGTTCTTCATCTGAACTGCAAGTTCTCTCACTTTTACCTTTCTGTTTCTCACCCTCCCTACTTGTGGGGAAGGTAAAGTGAGCAAAGAGCTGTGCGGGGCTGAGCTGCCTGTGGGGTTTAAACTACAACAGGTACATATAGAGCAAAACTCAGACAAATGAAGAAAATGTAGTTCCTGGTGCAATTATATTCTTTTTGATGTTGTTAGTTTGTTTGGTTCGGGCCTTTGTGTGTGTTTTGTTTTCTTTTCAGAAAGAATGGGTTTCCAGAAAGCTGTTTTTATACGGTCCCCACCCATTTAGTACCACTTTTGATGAGAATCTGTTACAGTTACACTGATCTGTTCCGCCCGACTTCTGAGGTTACTTATAGCCACTTTGGGGTTGTCTGGTTGTCTGTCTGTCTCTACACTTTCATATCCACTTTTAAAAGGATACAATAATGTGCTTCTAAACCTAAAACTCTCTACAAGAGACAGAGCTACACTGATTCACAAACCCCTCCAACTGCAGCAGCATTTTCACACGCTTGTTGTGAATGAATAGCCAGTTGGTCCCGGCTACAACCTTCTAGCTAGAATTTCCCGAGTTAACATCCTTTCTCTACCTAATGCCAATTTTCCAACCTTAAACTGAAAAAAGACATCTGGTTTAAAAGAGCTGTACTATTTGATAATGCAGCTAGCTACTTAAAACAAAATAAAACAAAATAAATCAAAACAAATAAACAAAACCCCTCCAAACCATCCTGTTTCTTCATTTATATTATAAAGTCACGTGGCAACCAGTTTCATAAAAAGTTGACTTTTCTTTCTTAAATGTATGTTAATATTTCATCAAGAATGTCTGGACCTCCTAAACTAACCCTATAGGTGTTACTCATACTGACATGAAAGGTTAAATCCCCAAATTAAAATACATTTTTGCTGATCATTGTATTTCCGAACCAAACAGAAATACGTTTGCTAGAAAGTTTTTTAAAATATGCGTTATACTTCATACAGAGCTGTAAAAATATTTAAAATTCAGTATTTACCTGTTTCTACATACATAGCTGCATTCTGAATTGCATTAGTTTCAGACCAATTAATGGCCTTTTCTTCTTTTTCTAGACCACTTGAATCACAACATGAATCTTGCTCATCATCAAACCTAAACAAATACAAAAAAGCAATAACTGGAAATTACTCAATACCTTTCTCACATACTACATATAGAGCATTGAGAGAAGTCTGTATAAAAATATAAACATAGGTCAATCTAAGAATTTTATATTTGATTGATAACAAATAGCAGAATAAAATAATTTGGATAAAAGTCATTATTACTCACAAGATTTTAAACCAGAACAATTAGAAATGATGCTGACATAAGATTAGTAAGAATAGCTAAAATTTTCAGGCTGTAAGCACATCTGCAGCAGGTAAAAACCTCTCATCACCAATCACCAAATTCCAGGAAAGCTAAAAATGCAAAATGCTTTTTTAAATTATTTTTCTTTTTTTGGTGTAAACTAGCCCGGAAAAGATGCTTCTTGGCTTTTGGAGTCAAATTATCTCTAAATAAACTTAAAGCTGTTTATCAGTCTTTACTTTCCTTCTAGTTCAGTTTATATTATCCCTGTATCCCATTAGCAATACCAGCATACACAGATTAGATTAGAAAGTGAGACAGTATTCCTCATCAAAATTGGCATTCACATTATTTCATACCTCAGCCACAGACAGTACTTAGTAAGATGAAAAGAATCTTAAAATGACTTCTGCATCTGTGCAGTCTGAATGTATTGTTTACTTATGGTTTATCTAGATTATGAAAGATAACAAATGATAAAGGAGAGCTGAAGAGAAAACGCCTCTTACCAATCCCAGGCTTTGAAACTTCGGAGGAAATCACTAGAAGATCTAATGCTGTTGTCTTTTCCATTTTCAGTAAATTCTGACTCTAAAGAACATTTGGATAAAAAAATATCTGTATTTTCCAGTGAGCTGTATGTGTCACCTGAAATACAGAAGATAGTAACATTTCTATTTTGCATTTGAGAAGCTGATGTTAAGAAATTGACAGGGCTTACTAGAAATGCTTTCCATCTAATCAGGTGGGTCGAAGAACCAAAAAACCCACTGATAAGCCCTTACAAATGAATTAAAAATTTTAACAGCTTAAACAATGGAAGGTGTTATTTAGTTTTCAAACCATGTAACTCTTTCTTAAGTTTTACAGCTTGCATTCATATACACTAATTTTTCTATAACCAAAGTCTGATAAATAAATAGTTTTACCCTGTTGTCTGCATTCACCAGCAACATGTGTTTCTCAAGAAGCCCAAAGATACTCTAAATAATAAATGTATATGTACCTTTAAGTTAAAGCCAAGTATATGTACTATGAGGTGGACTGATACCAACCACTTCAAGCAGGACTTCAACATAAACTGGTTGGGAACCACTGTTCTAAAGCATCCTTTGTGCTCTCTATGTGAATGTCAACATTACTAGGCTGGCTCTCAGATAGAATAAACCCCTGATCAAGAATGTCTACCCATTTAAAATGAGAAAATACAAAACTACTTAAAATAAATTTAGGAATGACACAGTATATATTTGCTTTGAAAAATATATCAAAGCACCATTGTTTGGTATTACCTTTGTACCCTAGGGAGCTTCCACTCTTCCCTTCAGTATGTAATGCTCCTGAAAGGCAATCCTACAAGAAAGCACAACCACACTCTAATATAGTCTGAATTTTCAGGTAAAGTGCATGTGACAACTTACCTGTTTCACAGTTACAATGCCTTGTGATAGAACTCTTACCACAAACAACTGTCTTTGAAAAGGGAAGTGGTTTTTGTTTTTTTCAATATACAAATGTAAATGGCCTTCATATTAATATAGAGAGGCAAACATCCTCCACAGTCTAATGATGAAATATTCATGTTATACGTTAAAAAATTTGAGAGATAAGATTTTATGAAGACAGTAACATAATAGGTAACACTGCCATCTATTTTTATATCTAGGTTTTTTATGTCAAAGTTTCCTGCTCTACTTTTTCCTACTAACCTGTAACTACATACTACAAAAACGAATGACAGGAGTATTAGGCTACAGTTAAAATCATTTAAATGTACATTATAAAAGATTAGACTCAAAGCAGCTCTCGCTATCTTAGCTGTGTTTCACTGCATCTCTCCTGAAACGAGGACATACACTCTAAATGAAGAGATCAATTGCTGTATTTTCTTGTACTTAAACACAGCTTTTTAATAAAATAAGAAAATGCATGAACAAATCTAGCATTTGGTTCCTCGCAAGCACAACATATTACTTCCCTTGCAGCATAAATTCGAACACTTGTGAAACACCAGCATGTGGGAGGACTCTGCTGCTGGAGCAGTTTCCTAATCCATTGTGCACATCCATAAATAACGGAAACAGAGAAATCACAATTCAGTTCTTCATTCACATTGGTGCAAAGAACCTGACATTATCTGGTGTAAAATAACATTGATTTTACCTTGGCAAGGGAATGACACCCATCATAACTTACTCTATGGTCACTGCTGCAGTTTATTGTGAACTATGGGTTTGATTCTGACTAGACATGACACAATTTCTTGCTCCCTGAAAACAGAACCGCTAGGCTTTACAAACAAACAAAAAACCACCAACAACAAAAATTCACAAGCACACCTAACACATTATAAATAAGGCTAGTGATTGCTGTGGCAAAAGAATCGTAAAATCAGCCAGGTTGGAAAAAACCTTTAAGATCATCAAGTCCAACTCTGACCCCAGGACTGCCAAGTCCACCACTAAACCATGTCACAGAAATTCATCTGCACAGCTAAGAGAATATGCAATAAACAAGTTATCCTACTAGAATACTAAGAGGATTCATATACAATCTTGACCAACTAGCAGACACCAGAATGTTTTAGGCATAAATTAAGACCCAAGCTGCTTAGACTGTGTTTTGGGAATGCATAAAATTTGAAATTGCAATTTCCAGGGAAATTCCAAGTTCAGACAGGGATGTCTCTTCAGCACTTGTCCTGTACTTGATCTTTTTAAGATCTCTTCCAATCCAACCCATTCTACGTACTGCAAACAGAGCAGAGGGAACAAGAGTAGGAGTAGAAAGTACGTATTTTATACCTAAGCTCCTAAAGCCTGTTCAAATCCCATTTTCAGCTCTCACGCCCTACGCGGATGTGATGTCAGTGTTTACAACGAACCCCAAGGGAGGAGACACAGACACCACCATTCCCAAGCACCTCTGGGACTAGGCGAGAAGGGGCAACTGTTCCCCTCCTCCTCCCACTTCCCTCCCTTGGCTGCATCCTTAGCCTTCCCGTCTCACCCCCGCGGCGCCGAGCCGCCGCAGACTTCCAACGGAGGGGCCGGGGACAGCCATGTAACACCGCCGCGCTCGAACTAACCGCCACAGCCCGAAGCCGGCAGGCGCAGGCGCGGAGGCGGCGCGCATGCGCCCACCGCTCCTTGGGGCCGGGCTCTACGGAAGCGCGGGGACGGACTGCCCTCGCAGCGGCTGGGCCGGGCCGGGAGCCGGGCAGAGTAGATACACCGCCCCGCCGCTGGTGCACTCCGTTCTGCAGCACAGGCCCTGCGCAGTAGCGGCTGTGACAGGCCCTAGCCTCACAGCATTAGCTCCTATAACGGCTTGGCCTTCCAGACTAATGCTTCTGAAGGAACTTCTGGGGAGAATTAACTCCGACTACCTCAAAAAAAAAAAATTAAAAAAAAAATCGGCTTTTTAAAAAAAAGCTATTTTTTTTATACAGATTACACAGTTCCAGCTTACAGATAATGGTGGTCGATTGGTTACCTTGTTAAAAACCTTTATAATGGCAGTCCTGAGCCGTAGAGAAGTTAAGCCCCCCCAAACTAGCACTTACTTATATACAGTTGCTATTAAGAGAGAAAATGGCTCTGGCCCACTTACTACAACTCTGCCCCAGGAAAGGAAGCTAATAAGCATTAAAAGAGCAGGGAGAGACAGATCATAGAAGTAGCAGTGTTGTACTACAGCATTTCAGGTAAAATCCTAATGTCAAGTAGCTGTTTTTCACTCTACTAAGGCATTTAAATCTATTTTATGTAAAAAATAAATAGGCATGTTTCTCTAGCAAAATATTGATCAAAGCATTCAAGAACTATTCTCCAGTTTTCAACTACTGAAGCGCTACTGAGAGACTTCAGATAGCACAAACCAGCACTTACCTGCCAGCTGCCTCCACTTGCTTTCTACACATCAGAGTAAGCTTTACATTTCAAAGGCCTTCAAGTTTCCTGACTAGCAATTAGCACCTACAGTCATTTTCAAAATACAGATTTATGGAGCAGGAAACCAAACTACACAAGTTCTTTTTTAAACAAACCAAAGTGAAGACAAGACATTTATTTTTAACAAGACTAAGATTTAATTTTTAAAATTTGACATTTAATACAAATATGTCAGGATTAACACAAATACACCTGAAATATGCCAGTGTCTGAACTTTAACATGCAAAAAAATCAATTAGAACACATAAAAAACCCAACTATAAGCTGTAATTTTACATTTATACATCAGAAGTGTCCATTTTCAAAGGTTGAAATAATTAGTCAATTAACACCTAAATACTGATTTATACTGCTAGAACATGTGGATACTCAAAGCAATAATTCTATATTTGCCCACAGTCTGTAATGACAATTCTTCCATTTACTAGCCCTTTAGGAGAACCAAAGGATTCAATCTTTTTCACAACATCCATTCCATCCTTGACAAACCCAAATACCACATGCTTGAAGTCCAAGTGTTCTGCTTTTTTAAGTGTTATGAAGAACTGGGAAGTATTTGTATCCCTGCCCTTATTTGCCATTGACAACAATCCAGGACCGGTATGTTTCACTTCAAAATTCTCATCTTCAAATGCTGATCCATAAATTGACCGTCCGCCTGTTCCATTATGGTTAGTTATATCACCTCCCTTAAGGAAAAAAAAAAAAGGGGGGGGGCACAGCATTAATGTGAAAGTCCTGAAACTTAAACCAACAATACAGTTACATTCCCTTTCAACCGTAAAGACTTTGCTTCATAAGAACTCAGTTTTCCCAAGTACACATTTACTTAGATATAAGGCTTCACAGGTTCAGCAGCTTTGTTCATAGTGATGGAAGCAGCAGTGGAAAGTGTACCCCTTGTTTATTTCGAACACAGAATTCTACCTTCCTCACTCCACAGGGTGACCACTCCTCTGAGCCTGTCTTTCCCACTGCCTGCTTCCTGCATCACTTGGTCCTAATAGCTAAGAGCTGCCTTATCTCACTGAAGAAGACCTTTCCTAGCTTAGTCCCTGCAGGCATGGAACTGATCACCTGAAGAAGGTTAAGGTACAGTGACCAGCAATCTCTTGCTTCTGTGCAGGCAGCAGCGTTTGCCACATGACTGCTTGTTTGGGAGCACAGCTACAGCTAGCGTGTAATGTCTTTGGTCTTTCTGCAAGGCAGCAAGCTTCTGGCTCCTGATTATTTGGCTATACACATAAAAGGTGACAGTGTAAGTTATTGTATATTTGAATTCTCATTGAAAAGTTTCTCACAGTACCTGGAGAAAGTTCAGGCAAAGTAGAGCAAACTTAGAATATACGGATTTCATGTGATAAAAGCTCACACTTTGTCAGTCAGGGTGTCCATAGTACAGTTAATGGCTTTTAACTAAAGCCTGCAACTTACAGGTTGTAGAATACCTTGAAGCAAGCTTAAACCCTAAATGAGCAATGCTGCATTCCTTATCCGAAAGGCACAAAGTTTTAACAAAACAGCCATAAAACTGCATACCTCAGCCACAGGTGATATCTCATGAAGAGACCAGATAATTTCTTATTCTGGTTACAAGCCACTCCTGTATTACTGTCTACTTTTGAGTTTGCAGGTTGAGCCTTGCTTCAGGGATGTAGTGACATGCAGGAACATTAGTGCAGTGTGTAAGGAAGATGGTTCATTCTGCCTGTTACAAGCCATTAAAACTCACTGAATTATTGATGTGAATCTTAGGAAAGGTCTGTATGACCTATAATCAGTCTCCTATGCCTTCAGCATTTATGAAGAACTTACTAGTGCTACTGAACGGACACAGAGGTTTAAAACCACACTATCTACATGAGGCTTCTGGTGCACTGCAGGCTGATACTCTTGATGCAAAATTTGAGTATTTTAAGGAACAGGATTTTCATTGCATGACAATGAGATCTAGAAGACTTTTTTTAGATGGAAGCTTGAGCATCTAAAATACTTGGAATATCGGTTTTAAAGTACACATTATCTGAAATACAAAGTGTACTTCAAAATGGAACAGAAGGCTGGAAAGTAAGTGCTCTTAGCAGGTGAGCATACAGAAGGTCCTCTCTGTACAGCGATGGGGGTGAATGGTATTTTGGGGAGCCCCTACTTTCCTTGATATTCTTCTTTGGAAACAGGCCACTTGTCCACTGTAAGAGAAAAATCTTTGGGTTTTTTTCTCCCACAGTAAGTAGCACTTACGCAGCACTAGATAATACTAAAGCATCAGGCAGCTGGCAGACACAGGTAGAAAGCATTCATCCTAGGGCAGCATGTGCTGCTTGCACTTTCTCATCTTGTAGGGAAAGGACAGATGAGAGTATCTTGCACACTGTATTCATGCTGCCAACAAGAACGTGCTATGCTGTGTGATTTTTAAGTGCCATTGTTAATGAAGATGCACCTCATTCTCAATGAAGGGTTTTCCTGTTATGCTTACCTGACACACAAAGTCAGTGACTATCCTGTGAAAGCTGGAGTTCTTGAATCCAAATCCTTTCTCTCCTGTGCACAGGGCCCTG